AGGAATCACACGTTAAAAGGTAAGACCTCGTTAGTCCTTAGCTCGCACAAGTTTCAACTTTTGAGAGTTGTCATTCGTAGGAGGGCAATAGCTAGTTAACGTAAAAACAGATTTTTTGTTTCTGTTGTGGTTCAGCCTTGTACCACAAATGATACCTATGGCGATGCTTCGTTTTTGGGTTCTAGGTTCAAAACCCCAATGAACAGAAACTATCTCTAAAGCATAATTATTTTGGTTATTGACATTTCGAAGCAACTCAGGAAAGTTCAAGTTTCTATGAATGTATTTCATTAATGTATTTGAAAAATGCCTTTAATAATTCATACTCATCTATGAAATAAATATTAATATTATATTTCTTAAAATAAACAACCTCATATTTTTATATAAAAGTAGTGAACTGATATTTTATTATCTTAACAAAAAAACAAAAGAAAATTAATATTGTGAATTGTAAAAAAGTGTTACGATTTCATTGTTTACTATTCTGAAAATAAAACAAACAATTTGAAATATTTACACTGGTCACATCACAGAAACTACTCGACAACTAACACAGAATTTGAAGTACACATTTTACATAAAGAAAAAGATACAGCGATATCATTTACTAATAAATAAGAATTGAAAACCACTTTTCGGTTATCTCAAATCATAAAACCGTATCTAAGAGCAGTAAAATACCTGAGAGGGCTGAATTATTTGAATCATCCTAAAATAACGTTAGAGCCCAGACAGGACATAAAACGACCCTACAAACATCTCATGGAATTTCAGCTATGAAGTCAAACTGAAAATTATTACTTGTGATGCACTGGAAATTATTACTTGAAGTAATTGTATTTCCTGCGACTCAGTAATGAAACTGAAAACTTCGACATTAGTTACCTAAATACAAACCCTGTCACAATTTGAATCGGACCATCAACTTCTATTCCAGAATACCCCTAATTATGATTTTTATTTTGATGAATATCAAATTGTCAAAATCGAAAATCGACTTTTGGGGACCCCCTGAAGATGAGGAAAAACTTTTAACTCTTGTATTTCTTGCATTGCGACTCTTGAATTAACATAAAACTAAAAGTTAGACCAGTGGAAGAGAGAGAGAGAGAGAGAGATGATTGGATTGAAATAAAATTAGTTCTCAGACTAGATTGAATAGATTGTTTCACTAGTTTCCCAATTTAAACTCCCAGCCTTTTTTTGAGATGCCATTTAAAATCAGTGTTACATAAACTTCAACACAAAATTTTGGGGTACTGAGAAAAACAGGAGTGGTAAGTGCGTTGACCGAGAAGCCGAAACAACGAAATCAACGCACCTACCACTGATGATGTCTGCCGCAGTAGCACATGAAACGTTTTGTACTAGGTTTCATTCCACCAGGCCTATTATCCCGGATTTAATTTTCTCTAATCCAAATGGATTTTTCAGTTAAACAGATAATTCTCATTGCTCACAACGGATTCAATAACCACAAGAACGTAAAAGCAACACTGGTGTCTTGTCAATTCCGTTGGAGTGCAGGAGGTAGTCCTATATCATTAAATAGGACCGTTTCATTAACGCATTCCGTTTTCTGAATTCTCTAAAAAACAGGTAATGTGCACACGGCATACCTATTCATGCAGAAACCAATCAGCCTTCGTGTTCTCAATAGTTAAAGAATAAATAGACCTGTTCACAACGTAATCTAAACGTTCAATATGCACATCATCAACGTACTATAATTTGTCCTAATCCAACCGACCCCCCAAATTTCTCTGAGACATGTGAGGGTCTTTTATTTCCGCATCGGCAACAGTGACAATTTTTAACCGGCTTCACAGCATTCTTGGTAGTCAAGGTCACATCGTAGAATATAAAGCTGTTCCATCAACATTTATCTATGCAATATGTGGATTTCAGTTTATTCCAATGTATATGTGAGACGGTATTGTATAGCTTCGGCTCGGATTCTACAATGATTTAGTTGGATGACGAAATTTGATCAGAGGAAGACGATATTGAATTGGATACGCAGCTGTCTGCATTACACAATTTTTCAATGTCGCCTAGAACATCTACTCTGTCGCTAACAGGTGATTCTGAGACTAACTTTTCATCAAATCGCGTTTCTCATATTTGAATCATATCTTATACAGGGAGCGAGTAAATTAATCCACACAAATGAAGAAAATAAATGAATAAAGTGAGCAACATACGCTGAATAAATAAAAATATCATATACGTCCTCTTACCCAAAGTTTCCTTCATAAAATCTGTCGACGGTTGATAAGTGAAATAGTTATTTTGACCCAGAGTTTGGTGCGACACTTGTATAAAAAGTATATATATATATACGCAAGTATAAAAACAATAACCTTTTGATCGCCTACTATTATAAAAGAAACAGAGGTGGTCATTAAAATATTTTTTGCGAACACCCTGTGCCAATCAATGCGATATACATGGTGTATGACGAGAATGATCATGTGACCCGTCTATCATGTTCGAGATAGCATTGAAACAATCACATTGAGACATTAGTTGTTTTCCATATAGGAAATGACGTCTTGGCATAAGATGTCCTGTCGTTTCAAGCCTTAAATTTGCAAGACCGAAACCTAAGTGAAGATCAAATTGTCACCTGTCAATTTGCTTGCATTTGTCTGTGTATCGTTAGTATTTAATTGTATATTTCATATTATTCTAACATATCACCGAGAAGTTGAAAATGAAAATTTGCCCTTCTACACTTGTATAAAGTTCTCCATTATAATTTTTATATTTTTCAGATTGTGGAAGGTAACAAATACCCAACGAAGGTCGATAGAAAACTAAAGTTTTGTCTTTTTTTTTTAGGTTTTTCATTTTTTTTTTGGAATGTAATTAATACTCATAATTTGTTCTTTGATTTCTCCTAATAACACAGGAAATGGCACCCTTATTATTCCGTGAAACCGGCTTTCAACCGGTAACATTTTATTGTGATCCAGATATTTATTGACCATCTTGTATAACTCCAATCAGATATTCAACATTTCATGAGTCTTCATATGGCTAGCAAAATATCTTTTTCAATGTAGGTTGGTATTGTACTAACTAGCGTAACGATCGATGAGATATTATTTTTGCAGAACCTGTTTCTGTTTCTTTCAAGCTTCTGCTCATTTTCAAAAAAATGTGAATACTTCTCATTCAATTGTGGGGCTTGAAAAATTCAATATGACTGAGCCAATGATACTGAAGTTTTTACTCAAATTGCTACATAGTAGAGCTGAAATGATTTCCAATTTATTCCGTGAATATGAAGTTTTAGAATAATATTTAACTTTTGAATAGTTTTATAATCATTTCTTTACACTGACACTAAAACTGTTCCATAACAACAATCTATTTCAGGCTTTTATTTAAAGCCCACTGCCGATACCTTGTCAGCGATTTATTTAAAAAATGATAGGATAACCGGCGATAAGCTGAAACAAGCGCCTAGCTTAGCACGAGCATTTAATGATTTAGAATGCTCACTAGTAGGATTTTCATTAATATTTACTTATTCGAAGTTCAAGCCAGTGAAAACTGAATAAACAAAAAGTGACAGACATAGATGACCTATATTTTGATGTTGATATTATTCTTTCATCCCCCCAACAGTTCAAGTGATCATTGAAGCCTGAATCTCAAGAATAATATAATGAAGAGTGTTTGCCTATTAAAGGTATTTCATTAGCCCAACAAACCACAGTAACAACATCGCTATTCAACTCTTCCTTCACATGGGTATTTGAAAAACACTTTTTTGTGCGACTTTCAATTAACAATTTACAAAATCGCAACAGGCTTCCTCAAACATATCCAATATTAAATCTCAGAATGAAGTGTTATTCAAAAACGTTATAATGGATTTTGACAAAGAATGGATTGGTTCCATCACATTCCTTCGGTGGAGTTATAAATATATTCAGTACTGAATACTCTGGAAGATTAAACTGGGTTTTAAACTGATTTTAATCTTCCTCTTGAAGATGCTCACTTGGTGATCGAAACACGTCTCGAGGTGTTGAAAATAACGGTTTGGTGTTGAGATAGAACTACAGTAATCATTACTACACCAAACAGAGCAAGTATCTAATAATGATAGTATGATATCTATTAATGAATTGCAAAAAACGTAAGAACAGGGTAAGCAATTAGATCAACTTTATTTAATGAAATCGTTACAGCACTGCTTAAAGTTGTTTCTGATATAGGTATATTTGATATAGAGACAGGCATCCGATTAATATTAATGTGGGGATATATTTACTCTCCTAAATTTACTGTTGCCTCTATCTCAAACTTTTTTCAAATATGTACTTGAAAGAAGATTTTTTTATTTCATGATTTTTTTGAGAATATAAAATGGGCATGCAAAAGTAACCTACAGATTCGTTGAGTGAAACTAGTTATGTCAATCAGCTGGTTAACAACGTTACGTTTTTGTTCCCCAATCCAGACAAAGGAAAGGGTGTGTAGGGGTGTTTAGTCGAAAACGTTTGTTAACTTCGTTTCCTAGAGGAACGCGCATTATTTTATGAATGATTTATTCACAACCTAAACGAATTTAAGGAGTTGATAAAAAAACTTTTCATTTTTCATTTTGAATTGTCCAAAATGGCTGACAATCTGAAAAATACCCTTTTCTCATTATTTGAGGTAGTTGACAATAATTTTGCTGATTATCAGCTATCAAAACTTAAAGAAATGGCAATCAAAACTCAGGTTCACATTGAATATTTTTCCAAGTGGAAAACTGTGATCGATTTCATGGATAAAGAGGAACATAGAAAAACACTGAGTCGCGGGGTCAAAAAGAGGTCAAAAAAAGCCGAACTTCCATAGGCGTTTCGGTAAGGTGTGATCTGGACCCTGTTTGACCTAATTACGAACAAAAGAGACCACAACAAATGAGGGGAATTCTGACGAGAGAAGGGATTCAGATTGCAAACCCTTGGTGATTTTTGAAAGAGACTTACCTTGTCGTAGTCCAAGGTGACTGGTGGTAGCACATCGTTGTCCTTCTGGCACAGATAGCCGGGGAAAAATCGGAGGCAGTAGTTGTGGAAGCAGGCGTGACAATCTGCGGAGCATAAAGTACCACATTTACAACAGCATGTAATCTCACAAGAGCACAGTAATGAGTGAAACGAGAGTATGCGAGCGCAGCAGTCAACACCGTTTTCAGTAGTGCCCCAAGCAGCCCAAAAAATTTCGCCGTCTCGGACCTTATGGCCAGACGTCGTCTGTTCCAGGGAGGCGGTACCCTGAAGGTCCATTTCTCCATCAACTTCTTCTGCTGATGAGTTTTGCGTTGCCATCGGAGCCGGCCGGCCGATTCCTCGCAACATGTAGTTCTCTGCATCCACGGGCAGCAGCGAAGAGAACTTTGTGTCCACTGCCCGTTTTAACATTTTGGATCTACCAGGCTCGCCGTCGCCGCCTTCTTGGTTGTCACTGTCGTTCACGCTCATCTTTAAGTGACATTCAGGGAATCGTTTCTGTCATCTGAACAGAACCAGAACTTTCTTTCATTGTAACATATATCGAGAACGACAACCTCACACTTCTGACTACCGGGTGGCGGAACTCGGAACTGGCCCAACTCGCACGACCAAGTAATAGAGGTTTCGGGCCTGCGCGATGAACGACCAAGAATCATGCTGTGGCGGCCGTCTCGCTCCCCGCAGACCGAACTGCCACTCTCACTACACCGAGGCGGATGGCGCGATTTCGATATATGGGTTATAAGACTTCTGTGAAGCTTAGCCAAGGCCATTCGCAGTAGCAAAATCAACTAAATTCAGTTTTTAATTTCGTCTTGAAAGAAAATATCTAATTATTCGTTTCACGACGCGCTAGTTTCTAGAAAATGTTTCATCGGACTTGTCGCTGATCACGAATTTGAAAAAGCTCGGCACTCTGAAATCACACAAAATGAATATAACAAGGAAAAATAGAATATGATGCAGAGGTTGATTTTATAATTATCAGGACAGCTACAGAATACCCTATCCTTATTATTCTAGAGGCACACTATTCAACTACTGCATTATGGTTTCGATGCATAAGAAAGCCTTGCATTTTTCTTTCGAATAAGCACGAAAATTATCCCATATTCTAGAAATATATAGGTACGACGTGAACATTAGTAACATTTTCGATAGGAATAATGTAGCCAAACCCTAAATTTTCTGAAACCTAATATTGTGAACTATTCTAGTATATTTGCGAAAAAAGTGATACCGAATATTGATTATTCCTGTACCTATAGAAATATCGGTACCTGATAAAATTATGAATTGGATATGAAAATACACTATCCTCAGAGATAAGATGTTGCCAGGTATTATCACACTTAACCAATCGTCTACAGACTGTATTCGTAAACAATGTCACATATTCACCAATTCTTAAAGAATTGCATTACTGCGGTTACTGAGCGATTTTTTTCAAAATAGAATACCTAGCGGATTCAGTAGATAGCCCAGAATCAACAAGAACTGTCATTTAAACATTACATAATCTGAAAAATTAAAATAAATTGATAATACCTATAATTATATTGAACTGAAAAGTACATGCCAAAAAGTTACCGACGAAAACGTATAATTAGTTAGTAACTCGTATATTTATAAATAATTTATACCGGATTTATTGAAAAAATAATCCAAGAATCGATGGGATGTTTATAGTCCAAAAGCTGGCGTCGGAAATGTGCAAGAGTTCTCTGAAAATTAATATTTTCAGACTAGGTCACATTTTAGGGACGACAAGTTACCGTAAAGTTAGCATTCCCAGTATCGGGACACCTGGCGCAAACGCAAATTTATAAAAAACGAACACTATTATATGAAACAGAAATTCAACAGTCAGGAAGTGAAGTGAAGGATCACGTGGCGTCAGCGCTCCTTCATATCTGCTAAATAAATGAGAGTTAAAGTACTCTGGTGATTTCCCAAGACTTCTTCCAAAACAATAAGCAAAACCATGAAGATGATGAAGCAGATAGCGCGACTAATTTCTAATAGGACCACTTCGGTCAGCACTCAATAAGTTTTTCTGGTTCTACGAAATTCAGGTTTTAGGACATCAGGATCATGCGCAGTTGATATAGAGCGTTCTGGTTTATTGAGGATAATTTCGGACTGATGAATCCTCTGTTTCGACTGAGAAATAATCCTAAACTGTCTTGAACCGTCCTGAATCGTACTTTCTCTCGAGACTGAATTTTTGATAACTGTTCCCGTTGCTCATGCGCATTCATGTGGAAATTAGTTTGGGCTATTTTCCAGGATGTTTTTTTATTTATTTGACTCAAAAAATTGATGATTGAGGTTAGATAACATTTGAACTGACTACAAGGATACGCTACAAAACAAAATGGACAAGATCAACAGTATTTTCTCGTCTTCATCTCTACATATTAGGTGGCACAGTGGTCTCCTCAAAATGCGTTGTGGTTTAACCAAGTGTCCGAGACTATTTCGGACTGTTTGAGATTTTTTGTTTGTACGCATCATATCTTGCGCAGTTTCCAAACAGTTTCGGATGTTAGAACCAGAACAAACCTAATAAAACTGTAAAGTTTTATCGACTGGTGACTGGCATGGTCCTGTGTCAAACGAGACAGACTGTCTTCTATATTAACTTTAGAGTTTTAACTACTTCATCTCGCTTTATTATTTTGGCAGGTATGAAGGTGCGCTGACGCCACGTGACCCTATATTTTACTTCCTGATTGTTGGATTCCTACTTTGCGTTATACTTGCTCCTTATCTATGAATTGCGGTACGGGAAGTGCTGCAGTAACTTTTCATCACTGAAATGTGACTCAGTCTGAGAATATAACTTTCAGAAAACTTACACACTTTTGACAACAGCTTTCCTACCACAAAAGGAGGAAAATTTCTTGAAAATAATATTTATAGGACTACCAAACGAGCCCGTCAAAGTATACTTGCTACTAACTATAATTTCTTTGAGGTAGGTATATATCTAAAAAATGAGGAAATATAAATGCATCAAGTGAAGAATCGCCATTATATTGAAATCACATATGTGACTTGTAGTCCAGCGGAATGTTCTCAATAAATTTAAACAATCCTCATTCCCTAATCGTGTTGAAGGTTGAACGGATCCATTCACTGGATATTCTTCTGCCTAGAAAAACCTGACACTCTACTAATGGTAAAGAAGAGGAAAACCTCCAAAATCTCTGAAACACACTTCATTGGACCCTTTGTAAGAAATCATCTGGTAGAAATGCTTGACGCGTTGAACGTGTATATAATTCAGCGACTCTCTTCCCAAAACACAAGGTAATGTCGACATAGCCGCAGCAGCAATCAACTAGTTACTTCGCTGGGTATCATTTTCTCATGACAGTGATGAACACCAGAAACACACAAATAACTGCACTCTTTTCCCTTCCATTCTTGGAATTGAATAATGGTGATACCGTTAGACTACTCACTTAGTTCTAGTATGAAAGCATCACTCATTAACCGCTATAAAAGCTTTACATTTTCTATTCATAATTTTAAGAAATACTTCAGTTAGTAAACAAAAGAACAGAATTTGTAAATATATTTAGAGAAAAATAGTCTTTCTCTACAGTGGGGAATGAGAAAAATACTAGCGTAGTCCAAACAGAACTGGCTGGTACCTCAAACGCCACAAAAGAAATAACCAGGAAAGGAATCTCTGGAAAAAATATAACAATCTACACTGACAGAAGACAAGTCCTATTAGCCTTGAACAGTCAACGTGTTACCTCAGGGCTAGTACTAGAGTGTCAGCAAGATTTAGCCAAAGCCTCGGTAGATAATAACATTATCCTGAGGTGGGTTAAAGGGCACGACAGGAGTAAAGGTAATCGCATTGCCGACTCTTTAGCTAAGGAAGCGACTGGACTAAGAATTTTAGGACCAAGTGGCACCCACGGCCTGATGACTTCGACAATTGCGGAACTAGCCAAATGTTACACCCATGCTCAATCCCTAAAGAGATACGATGGAATCAAAGGATGCAATTTTGCCAGAATCACCCTGGGCGATCCTGGGAAGCTAGCGCCGAAGAAATATCTGGTGATGACCACGAAAAATCTACGCTTATCAGTAGGATTTCCGACTGGCCCCTGTCAACTAAAAGGGAACACCCCTATAATATGGGGCTAGTGGACACACCTCTATGCAGGATAAACAGGAAGATGAGACTGTCAGACATGTCCTATGCGAGTGCCCGGAGTTATCGTCAATATGAGGGTGTGTGTTCGGCGAGTCTTGGCCTACGGCTGTCGATATAAAGATTTCTCCAAGTAACCTGCCCACCTTCCTGAAAAGGACAGGATGGACGATGACCTAGGGGGAGGACAACTCCTCGGGAGGATGTAAAATGGGTCACATGTGACCTAAGTGATATGGGCTTACACTCACCCTCCCTACTCTACAGAACAGAACAGTCTTTCTCTACTTTTTTCGCATTCTTTTTTTAATTCCCTCTGATTTTTCAACGAAAGCAAACATGATATTAGGCCAATTTACATTACCTGAAAAAATCTTAGGTTAAGTTAGGTCCAAAGTAAGTGGGTTTATTGTAGCTCACACCTATTCAAACTCGACCAAGTAAACCCAGCTTCTTAACGAAGCCGATTAGTTTGTATGGTGAGTGGTCTTTCAGGTCAGACGGTAAGAGTACGGCTTTGCCGAAAACCTGATTCGATCCCCAGCGGGGCAGACACAAAGTATGTGCTCTGCTATTTCATCATTTCCAAACAGAGGCGACACACACTTTCTTCCGACAGTCCGAGTCTCTGCATATGATGATTCAAATGACAGTGACCTGTAAGAAGGTCTGTTATACATTGTAGTTCATCCCAACTATAGTCCAACAACTGTTTTGTATCAAGCTTCGAAGGGTGAATAAACGCCTTAAAGTGAGCCAATTCTGGAAGATTCTGCCAGAAGTCCATGAATCTTCTAGCCATCCAGGTGTTTAATTTTTGTTTCGCAAAGCCTAAAGTGATGCCAATGACAGATTCTGGTCCGATAAAGCTGCTTGCAGCACCTTCCTTTGCAAGGGAGTCAGCAGCAGTAGTACCAGGAATCCCGACCAGAGACAATCTATCTTAAGTGAACATTTCAAACGATACATTAATTACTTAGTAGCGGAATTTAAAGAAGTCTACTCACCGAAACAGAAAAAAAGATTATAGAAGCACCCATAATTGCCAATAACCCAATTTCGATTGATTTATGACTTTTGGGGCACCCTGTATATGTATGATCTGATTTTAAAAACAGTCATTATATTAATTAAATATTGCTAACTGGGGATCTCCTTCTATTAAATACTCTGTCTAACTTTGGATGATTCAATTTATGACTTAGTTTATAGGCTCTCAAAAGCATTCTAAAAGTCTAGTGTTATATATGGGGTCTAAACAGTTTTGGTAAATATGTTTGCCGTTCTCATATGAATGTTTGTGAGACTTATTTGCGATAATCAGCTATCGCCTCCTCACAAATGACAATCCGAAGAAGATGAACTTGTGCAAACTGACGATTAACAAGGTCTTACCTTTAAGGTGCGATTGCTGGCAT